GTTGGAGGTTGCTGTGAGCTGTGATGCCACGGTACTCTACCCAGGGGGACAGCTTGAGGCTCCCATCTCAAAAAAAAAATAGTACCTTTCTGGATGCTGTGTCTGTATGTTTGGGGGCAGTGGGAGGAAGGCCAAGGCAGAAGCAAGACCCCCCTAAAATGTGACTTTGGTAAATGAAGTGTGATGATAATGACAGCAGAGGTTTGGGACTTGGATCAGGTTCTGTGTGCTTGGTGTACCTGTGGGCCTGTTACTCAACCTCCCTGTGCCTTGGTCTCTCTGACTCTAGAATGGAGACAGGTTCCAACTAGGACGTTAGTTTATGTACTAGACATCTCAGAGCATTGCCTGGCACACAATGGGTGCTCAATAAATGTTTGTTGAACGCCAGGCTGTTGTGCTAATGAAATGAATTAATATGTAAATCTCTTGGCACAGGGCCTGAGATGTAACAATAACATTTTGCTGTTGTTCTTACAGATAATCTAAGGATGGTGAGAGGTAAGAAGAGAGCTGACAGGTGAGAGCTTAGGTGTGTGCCTTGGAGTGGGTGGGGGGTGGAAGGCAGTCAGGACCCACCTGTCGGCAGCCTCTCTCAGTCCACTGAAGGACTGGGTTGGGTGACGCCGAGAACTTGACGACTTCGTTTTCATACACGTCCAGGAGGCGGACCCGGAGCCGGTAGACGCAGCCGCAGTTTTCTCGGGCTCCCCACCTGCCAGGGGGCAGTAAGCCTCTGTGCTCAGTCTCCCCACCAACTTTCTGAGTAGTTTGGGGAGGAGCCAGAGCCTGTGGGAGGAGCCTGGGTCATGGGAGGTGGATTCTGGAGTCTAGTTGAAGCAGGAGGAAGATACTCTAGGGAGGAACCACAACCCAAGCCTAGTGAACTTGGGGAGGAGTCAGAACCCCAGAAAATGAGATTGGAGGGGCCAGAGCTTAAAGAGCTTAAAGAGCTGGAATGCTGGCTCGGCGCCTATAGCTCACCCGGCTAAGGCGCCAGCCACGTACACCTAAGGTGGCGGGTTCGAATCCCCAGCCCGGACCCGCCAAACAACAATGACGGCTGCAACCAAAAAATAGCCGGGCGTTGTGGCGGGCGCCTGTGGTCCCAGCTACTTGGGAGGCGGAGGCAGGAGACTCGCTTGAGCCCAGGAGTTGGAGGTTGCTGTGAGCTGTAATGCCACGGCACTCTGCCCAGGGGGACAGCTTGAGGCTCTGTCTCAAAAAAAAAAAAAAAAAAAGAGCTGGAATGCTTTGGGGAGGAACCTGGGTGCTCTGGGAAGGAGGAAGTTTTTCCTAAGCCCTCAGGCTCTGAAGCAGCCAGTACTCCTCTCTCAACTGTGTCCCTTCTGAGCCTTAGTCCTCAAGGCAGTGCTCCCAATCCTTCAGAAGCCTTGGTCATCCATTACCCCTTAGGGTTAGTGCTGAGTTGGGGGTGATGAGGAGTGTCTAGTTTCAGAACTGTATTAAGACAGTCAGGGGCCCCATATGGACAGTCCTGGAGACCTGCTAGGAAAAGTGGGGAGGAGTGCAGAGTGGGGGCTCTGGGTTCATCAAGGCTCCACCCCTACCTGACTCTAAAGTATAAGAGCATCAATTCTCCCATAGGATGGATGAGGGCTCAAAATTAGCCCCTGTTGCAAAACCAATGCCACCACCCCTACTGTTCCAGGACAGATCACCACTCTTCACTCACCAGTCTGCCACACAGATCTCAATCTGGGCGCTGTCAAGCAGTTCCTGCCATACCCCCTCCATCACCAGGTCCACAAGCTGTCTCTTGAAGCACCATCTGGGAAGAGATGGTAGGGGCTGGGGCAAATAGTCCTGGCACTCAAGTCACAGAGACTACCTCCTCCAAGAAGCCTGCCCAAATAACCCTATCTAAAGCAGTCCTCAGGGCCTGCCTACCAGACATTATGCAGGATGGGCTATACATCCCTCCTGGCCGCTCAGATCCCCCTCTACCACTCTCTAGCCTGCTCTGGGCTCCAGGCAGCTGACCTATATGAAACCAGCCTTTAATATTTGTGGGGACCAGGACACGAGTACAAATGGAGGCCACATACTAGACATCTCAGCAGGGAGTTCCGGGGCTTCCTAAAGTGTAGGGGTCCAAGGTCTAAATTTGTATGGGCTGTATGGTCCAGTCTGCTTCCTGTCGGATCAGCCAAGGAGAAGCTCCAGCACAGGAGATGGAAGTGGGGGAAAAGAGTAAAATAAGGTATTCATCCTCCTAGATCCTTCCCAAGGCACTGCTGTGTCACTCAAAAAAAAAAAAAAAAAAAAAAGACACAGCTCCCCAGGGCTCTCTCCTCACACCCTTCTATCTTCCTGTTTCAGTAACTGCTTCCTATCCTCACCCCTTGGGGTTGTAATGTCCCCTCCACTCTTTTACTAGGCTACCCCAAGGTCCTCCCTACACTTTCATAAACAGCCCCGCTCCCCCAATTTGAATATGCCATAATATAGAAACAGTGGAGTATCAGTGGAAGGATAAATAAGTTGACCAATGGAATAGAACAGAATGATAAAACTATGAGGTTGCTAGAGGACAGTATTTAAGAGAATATTGCCAGGCCACAGAGTGAGACTGTTTCAAAACAAAAACAACAAAAACCAAACCAAAACCAAAAAGCTAATAGGCATATGAAGAGATGATTCATGTGCGGGTAACAGAAAAATGCAAATTAAGACAGCAATGAGATACCATTTCACCCTAAATATACTGGTAACTACTAGAGAGCTGGATACTGTTACATTAGAATGGCTGTATATGGGACAAGGAAAATGGGTAATGGTTATGAGAATAAAAGAGAATAAATCAATCAAATTGTTTTGGTGTCTTCATTGAATTTATCACAACCTGAAGCTCTGGAGCCACATTACCTGGTTCAAATCCCAGCTCAATCATTTCCTAGATGTTGGTTACTCTCTGTGCATCAGTTTCCTGTTATACAGTGGGGACAATAACCGTCCCTAATGTCACGGGATTGTCATCAGACTTACATAAAAGTTATATGTAGTCGTCAGAATATGGTAATCCTTTTAATATGTTTGTTCACTTGTTATTTACTGTGTGTGTTTAATATCCCCCTCCCCAAGCACTCTACACCTAAAATGAAAAAAACAGGTTGGCTCAGTGCCTGTAGCTCGGCGGTTAGGGCGCCAGCCACATACACAAGGCTGGCGGGTTCGAACCGCGGGCCCAAGCCTGCCAAACAACAAAGACAACTACAACAAAAAAATAGCCGGACGTTGGGGCCGGTGTCTGTAGTCCCAGCAACTTGGGAGACTGAGGCAAGAGAATTGCTTCAGCCCAAGAGTTTGAGGCTCCTGTGAGCTGTGACACCACAGCACTCTACCGAGGGTGACACAGTAAGACTCTGTCTCAAAGAAAAAAAAAACAACAGGTTGTTCATCTTCCTGATTTTTCTTTGTATCTCTGGCATATAAGGCAGTGCCTAGTACCTGACAGGCCCTCAACAAATATTTGTTACTTGAATGAATGAATGAGGGAAAGAGAGGGTGAAGGTAGGTAAAAGTGAGAATAAGGACTGAGGGGATAGGGTCCCTCCCCCTTTTCAGGGCGCTTGGCCCAGGGATCAGGGGCCACTCACTTGGGCCACTCACTCGAAAGAAGTCACGAAGCAGGTCTGGGAAGGAGCCCCGGGCACCAGTGTTAGGTTTTTTTCCACGGCCCAGCCGTTCCCTCCGTGCTCCACCTCCCAGCCTTTGAAGCCCCCTGTGGGAATTCAATAGAACAGGAGATTCGCCTGCCTGCTGACCCAGCAGAGACCTAGCCACTGTCTAAGCTACCCAAGATGTCCTGCCCACCAGTCATTCCCTCCGGCCCTCCAACCCACCCCTTGGCTTCTTATTTTCACGCCCCCTGCGGAAATCCTGTATTCCTGGTCTTAATCCATGGCCTACTCTCTCGGCCCTATCCATCCCTTCAGCCTTTCCTCAGTCTCGCCCTTCTGCTTTCCCAGCCTTTTGCATCTCAAGCGACTTCTTCCCTTCCCCAGCCCGGCCCCGCCTACCCGCTAGGTTTCCAGGCCCCCACTCGCCACACCCCTCCTGAATGCTGCAGCCCCCTACTCCCCGTTCCTACTTCACGCCCACCTGGCCACCTACCCTGACCCGCGCCCCTCAGCCCCGCCCCCTGGCCCTTCCAGCTGTCTCACCCATTGGTTACATCTCTGCATCTGCTCACAGCCCCTGCCCTGACCACGCCCACCCACTCCGCCTCCTCCGGGTCCTCCTCCCATACGGCCTCCCTGGCGCCGCCCTGTCCTTCCGCCCTCTATCCAAACCCACGCTCTCCGCAGGAGTTGAAGATGAGGTTGCGGCCCAAGGGCGCGCGCAGGCAGTAGCGCGCCAGGGCACAGAACGGGAACTCCTCGTCTTCCTCGCTGTTGGGCAGGCAGCGCAGAGCCAGGGCGTAGAGCGCGCGGCCCTCCGCGCTGCGGTCGCGGGCCAGGTGCAGCAGCCACACGGTGGGCCCGTCCACCACGTCGCGCCAGGCGCGGCACACTAGGCGGCACTGCGTTACTAGCCCGCGCGGCGGCACGTGGCTCAGCACCTGCACGAGCAGCTCCGGGGGCAGCGTGTCCAGGGCCATGGGCGGGTCTGCCGGCTGCAGCCGCCGCGAGGACCGGGCGCCCATCTTCAGCAGCCGGCGTCCTGCAAGTTGAGAGGGGGTCGGTCAGCGGGTCCGCACAGCCAGGCTCTCTCTACCTCGCCTCCCAGGACATGAACTTCCTTCAGCTTGATTTATCCCATCAGGTCCATGGGCAACCAGGGGGCTGCCATGGCGGTGAGACCGTGAATCCAGTTCCATCTCTTGATATTTGGCCTCTCCTCACCTTTCCACATCCGGTATAAATACCCTGCTCTGAATAACCCCATTAGGACCGCCAATCACAGCTTCCATCTGGCGCACACTTGTGTCAGGCTAAGTACTTTATATATGGGACCATAAGCACACTGAAGACTCCCAAGAAAAACCCACTGTGGAAGAAACCATTTCGGCCCAGCGCCTATAGCTCGGCCGGCTGGGGCGCCAGCCACGTACACCTAAGGTGGCGGTTTCAAATCCCCAGCCCAGACCCGCCAAACAACAATGACGGCTGCAACCAAAAAATAGCCGGGCGTTGCGGTGGGCGCCTGTGGTCCCAGCTACTTGGGAGGCGGAGGCGGGAGACTCGCTTGAGCCCAGGAGTTGGAGGTTGCTGTGAGCTG